CAACTATAATAGATTGAATGGATCCGAAAGATGCATATGAAAACTGAATGTTTGGGGAATGTAGCAAGTATTCATACATGCTACTAATTTTTATGAAACTACAGGAAAACGTTGTTTCCGCACTGTTAAATACCAAAGTTTGATAATTAATTGTGATTAAGCTATGTTAGCTACAAACATGTATTTATGATCATTTTAATCTCTATATATTCTAGATCAACATTCATGTACAAGATTCTTCTGGTAACAATTTTTTTATGAAACTGCAGTACATTTTCTAAGACGTTATTTTGCCAGCTGTCATTTGAGAAATACCAAAGTTTGTTAATTAATTATGAAGACGCTATAACAGCTATACTCGAATATTTATGCTCATTTGAATCTACGTATATTCAAGATCAACATCCATGTCTAACATTCTTCTGGGATCTCAAATTTACTAAAATACAGGCCATTATCTAAGTCGTTGTTTTCCTATTTGATCTTCAAATATCATATGTATGTTTGGTTGTCTGAACTTTAGGCGCAAAATATATTTTCCATTTCTTGTAACAGCTTGCGCCATCTGTTAGCAATATTTCAAAGGTTGTAGTTCAGGCATTTTGGCGCTGCACAAAATCCACTTCCTTAAAAACGTTCCATTTTAAATAAACAAGCATGTAAAAATAGTGTTTAAATGAGTCTAATATTATTACTTCCGTCTAATAATTTAATTGCCAATTACTTTCCGAGTTATATGCATTTTAATTTCGACGTGCAGAGGCATCTGTTGGAATATTCAGAAAACATTCTGCAACCATACATACACGAAAACTAGAAAAGTTTAAAAGTTACACAACTTAACGTCGTATATCATTTTATTCTCATTTTATTACAAAATCCTTTGAGGGTATGCGTTACGCATCTTATGTAGGAAACGTTGCTTTATGTGGTTTTTAAACTTTTCTCGTTTTCGAATTCACATATAGGAGTGCCTAACTATAAACAAATAGGAAAACAACGTCTTCGAAAATAGCTTGTAGTTTCGTAAAAATTAGCTCCCAAAAGAATGTTAGATATGGATGTTGATCCTGAATATGCACTGATTAAAATGAGCTTACATATACGTAGCTGCTATAGCGTCTTCATAATTAATTAACAAACTTTGTTATTTCACAGATGGCAAAATAATGTCTTCGAAAATGGCCTGTATTTTCGTAAAAATTAGCTCCCACAAGAATGTTAGAAGTGAATGTTGATCTTGAATAAACGTAGATTCAAATGAGCGTAAATATTGGATTATAGCTGCTATAACGTCTTCATAATTAATTAACAAACTTTGGTATTTCACAAATGACAGATGGAAAAATAAAGTCTTCGAAAATGTACTAAACTATTTTATTCACTTTCTGGTCATTTGGTGAAAATTTACATTTTTGATTTTCCAGTATCTTCATTGTACCTGGCATTCATTATGTAAGGATTATGTTGGAGGTAAGAATAGAATCATAAGGTCAATAGTTGTAATGAAGTAAAAAAGTTGGTCACATTCAGCAGCTAAGGCGCTTTTTTAATTTTAATACCTCCTCGCTACTCCTGCTCTCCTGGTGGAAATCGAAATTTTCTGTCACTTTTGAAAAACAATGGGGGGGGGGAGACTTGAGATTTAATTCGCGAAAACCACCAACGAATTAATAACTTTCTTGTTCATTAACCAATATTAACTTTTTTGATAAGAAACAAAAGGGAAAGAATCATTCTTTAAAACGATAAATTCAGATTTTTAAATAAATATTAAAATATCTATTTATTTAGTGATACCATTTGGTGCAATAACTTAATTTTTCATATTGAATGCAAATTACTTTTATATGCATCTTTTGCGAAAATACTGTTTTATTCTTCTCAAAAACTATAATAAAGATCAAAATCTACAATAAAAACTAGATTTTGAAATAGTTATAGCATAGTTTAGTAATGTAGGTCAAATGTTATTTAAAGTGACCGAAGTGCAATTAATAAACGTACACAAATGAAGTTGTTATGATGGGAACGAAGATCACCACTGTAAGCGTTGATTGACAGTTAGAAAACAGTGAGTCGAGATGAGAAAAACATCAAAACTGGCACAAGAACTATAGGAAACCATTTGCATTAGCCAAACAAACAAAGCATTTTTGTCATGATCTAATATTATTTTTTTTTTGCAGATTTCGTCTTAGTTGAGGATTAAATTCCGCTCCGAACGTAATCGAATCGCTCTTATATAAACAACACACACAGCACACACATATATTTCAACGGAGTTAAATTTATATTCGAGTGGATTTGTGCGTTTTCAGCAGCCCACGCTCGAATTTATGTTCATCTCTTCTTTTCCTACGGCATCACCTCTCTTCTAAACCTTCCGAATTTTCAGAGCACATCAAAATTCATTTGGCACCGAAAAGCCGCACATTTTCGCACGCTGCATAAATTACTGTTACATGTTTATTGCTCATCCACTTACACATTTAAATTATACGTAATTATTTATAATATATTTGTGTGCGTGTGTTTTAACACTTACTAAAAAAAAATATGAATTATGTTCATGCAAGAAAAATGAGTGAATCCATCTCAACGTTGGCGGAATTAGTTGTTTCGCATTAATTGAAACAAAACAGAAATCTGCTTTGAGATTAATTCCCTTCACGTGTTTTCGCTTAAAACTGTTGCCAAGGATTTGCGCTTTCGAATAGCGGAAAGTAAAACTATCTTAACTATTTTTGAAATTTTATAGCTTGAAGAAAGAAAAAAAAACAGTTTTATTTCTAAAAACTTTGGACTATAATTTTTGAGTTCAGCATTTGATAATTTTAGAATAGAATTTGAAAAATTAACTATAGATTTTTAGATAACATTTTCTCGATATCAAGAGATAATCCCGTATTTGTCTAAATCTATAATTAACCTTGTTTACCTACATATTATTTTTTTACACCTCTTAATGGCTTTCTTGTTTTTATTGGCAATACAGTGTGGATACATGTAAAACGCGAGAAATAGAAACGTCTCTCTCTCTTCTACCGTAACACGACGAGCCAAGTTTTGCGTTCACCCACCTACTACACACATCTACGAAATCAACCCACGCAAGTCGCAAAGTCTTTGGACGATCTGAGAGGAGATCGCGGATGAAAGGACCGAATTAATATCCCAATTGCGGTCGACGGGCGTTCCTAGTGTTTCATTCAAAAACTCCCGTCGCCGACTAAAAATAATTACACTAATTACGTGAGAACGTCTCCAATCTCTCGCTTTGTTTCCTCAAATTAATGAATTTCATTCATGACAATAGCACAGCAATTTGCCAGAATTCTTTTTCTCCCAAAATTTTCCTTCTAAAATCCTCAATTTGCTCATAATTTTATTCACAATTTGTTCATCAATGTGAACATTGAGTAAATTTAAGATCGCAATAGATGGATAATCTTCTAGTTACCAAAATCCTCAATTTAAAAACATTTTTTTATCTTCTGTACCAGCTGAAAATATCTGATTCAATACATTTTTTTCAATCTGTTTAAAAATAGTTTTTCTTGTGACATTTATAGTACTTTAAGAGATTTGTGAAAATTTTGAATATTAAGTAAAAATCTTGAATGTTAAAGCAGATGCAAATTTATTTTATCGGTAGAAGACTTATGGGTCTGTACGACTTGATTTCTTCAGCAAAATCCTCAATTTAAAAACATTTTTTTTATCTTCTGTACCAGCTAAAAATATATGATTCAATACATTTTTTTCAATCTGTTTAAAAATAGTTTTTCTTGTGACATTAATAATACTTTAAAAAAATTGTGAAAATTTTGAATATTAAGTAAAAATCTTGAATGTTAAAGCAGATGCAAATTTATTTTATCGGTAGAAGACTTATGGGTCTGCACGACTTGATTTTTTCAGCAAAATCCTCAATTTAAAAACATTTTTTTTATCTTCTGTTCCAGCTAAAAATATATGATTCAATACATTATTTCAATCTGTTTACAAATAGTTTTTCTTGTGACATTAATAATACTTAAAAGATTTGTGAAAATTTTGAATATTAAGTAAAAATCTTGAATGTTAAAGCAGATGCAAATTTATTTGCCTTTTCGCTAAATTACTAACGTGAGTTAACTGCTACAAACAACCTGATGTTTATTTATGTTCTGCACTTACCTTGTTTCCAAAACGCAAGTTCAACAACCATTTCTTTGAAGCAGGAAAAAAAAATATGATTGATTTCTATAAACACAAACGTTGTGAAAATAATGGAAGATTTACAGATTTGTTTATCAATCTGTAAAGTGCTTAAAAACGTTTTAAGTTTTAAGAGTAAACAAATAAATTATGATTGATTTTATCCTAGAACAAAGTGACTAAGCTGTTTCTGCACTTTATGACTTATGTGAGTGAAATCTGAGATTTCCAACATTAGCCAAAAACCGCAAGCACTAATAAATATAGTAACGAATGATTTAAACCAGATTTTCAGGACATTTTAGAACTCAAAGCCAAAGAGGTTTAATAGAACATGTTGCTGTATTCCAGATCTAATTTAAGCTCCGGATATTGACTGTGCACCATAAACAATCCAGTAACGAGCCCGAAATCCTATAAAAACAAAAGGAATAACTTTTCGCTTTTGTTTGAAATAAAAGCCCACGCAGACTTTTTTTTTCGATTGTCATTGATAGCATCTGTTTCGCGTGGACATTTTCTAAATAAAGTGGAAGAGTTCATGAATGGCTGAGAAAATATAAAAGCAGCAATGAAATACATCAAACGGGTGGAGAGATTTGTTCCAAGATTTTTCCTCTTATAATTAAATTTTCTATTCGCGGAACGGCCATAAATCATAGGAATGGTAAGGAAAGAAGGCGAACTTTTCAAACGAAACGCATAAATCTCTTCACTCGCCCGATCCTAATCTCAAGAGAAACGGGAGTAATCTCCTTCTGTCTTATTTACTACACATTACGTAATGTTTTGTGTGTCTAGAAGTGTATTAAACGTAGTTAGTTAAATTTGACTTTATCTTGTCTGGCTTGCAAATTATACATTTTCACATATCTTTTTCCTAGGTACTAGCAGACCTCCCAGTTAAATTTGACTACAATTTACTCAGAAAATCTATATTAACATTAACTATACTAATAACAAGCAATACATTTTGTAATTATGTAAATATATGTAATTATTTAATGCGTTCCAAAATTTCCGGATTTTTACTCGTATAGTGAAACGTATTAAAAAATACAAATAATATGTGTACATAAGTTTTAAAAATGATGTAGCAGGCGCACAATCCGGGACTTCTCTTCTCATCTTCAATCGTTATGCGAAACGTCGCTCGTTAAGCGAGTCACTTTTCTTGCAATTCAATTTACTCGTTAAGCGAGGTTCCACTGTATATTATTTCTCGTTAAATATCGAATGATTTACAACCGATGTACGCGCAATAAATTATCGAAAAACGCTTGTGTTGATCTATTTTTTTTAAATTGCTCGAACATGTCACTTTCCTAAGCCAATGCAATATTGCAATTTCCAATACTAAATGGATACAACAAAAACTTGGCATTATAAATCGATGCATGTCTCATTAGTTACGAGGAAATATTCATAACTTAACATGACTTTTCAATTAACATGAAAATGTATTTAAAAGCCACAAGTTTCTTAATTTCGTATTCAAAAATGCAATTTTTTAACATATTGCAAATGATTATTTCTAACGTTATTCCATAAATTTACATTACTGTTGAAGTTACGTAATAAATTGAATAAGAAATGAAAATAGTTTTTGATTTCTATACAAAAAAAAAGAAGCTAAATCTATTTACTAATGCATCTGTTACCATGGAGCTAAATAAGCTGCAAAGTTCTCACCTTACATCACGTAATCCTTGCTGTTATTTTGTTTTGTTTTTGTAACATTTTCATTTCTTTACGATCGGAAATATTTATTAGCAAACATAAATTGATATTTATTCGGACGATAAAAGAGAACGTGTCGTGGCCGAAGTTCGAAATAGATAAATCTAATGTAATAAGTAAAGGATGCGACACAGGAATTCGATCCGCGCAAAGTATTCTATTCACCACGGAATCTGCTACACCGGCATTCCGAATATGATTAATGGATTTAGACAATTAATTGCGGAAAATGAATATTCTGAAATTGCAGCAGATGCAACGTTTTTACAGTTGTTGTTGGTGTCATCTCTTGTACTGGGTTTTGATCTGCAAGTTTAGTTTCATTAGTTTTTAATGTTTTTCTTTCGAAATACGGCACCGCATAAACCACTATACAGATTGTTTATAAACGCGGGGATTTGTTTAAAAGGCGGCCGTCTAAAAATACGGGGACGACGTGGATTGGTCGAAACATGCGGATGCCGCCTATCGCGGGAGGCGGTGGCGCCCGTTTCACATCATCCGTGGTGAATTTTCTCTTCGATTATAGAAAACCACTATAAACCGAGCCGAAAATCATATATGCCCTCGGCGTCGGTGTCGCTCACCCAGTCTCCTCTCAGACTCCAAAAAGTTTTCTTTCAAACACACACACAACAACAACAACAAAAAACACCACAGACATGGTAAATATTCCTCAACTTTATACATCTGCATGAAGAATTCACATAGACAACATTACGAAAAAGATTAGTTGAAACTAAACACAAACAAATTTATTAATTTACAATTAATATTTCTTATAATCAGTTTATTTCATCCATTTTAAAGTTATTGCAGTTAAATTTCAAAAGTTTCTGAATTGAAATTTATATAAAATAATGTAAATAACATTTAAAAAGTCAATTATTGCTGCATACAATTCTGGTTTAAATTTAGAAATTTAAATTGAATTCAATTAAAACAAATAGAACGAATTAACACATAGAAATAATGTTGTTTGTTTCTTCATTTCTTATGAATATGCAGAAATGATGACGATTATTAATGATCTTTTTGTTGTTTTTTCTCTGTTTTCTAGGATGACTTGCCACCAGAACAAATCGCTGGTAAGTTGGAATTTGATGCCTCTAGTCTCCGGGTACGGTACACCGGAGGAGAGTAGAGATTGTGGAAGTTATTTTTACTATCCGCCTCCACTCCAGAAATACACGTTCCGTCGTATCGCGCTCGTAAAACGGCCTATTTTAGAAACTTTCAAAAGAAAATACACTTTGAAATTACAAATCAATTTTCTATAATTTCCGACGTTCGACAAACAAAAATAACAAGAAGTTGCCAGAAGATCAAAGAACCTAGTTTTTATATAAAAATAGAATTTAGAAAACACTTAATTCATGTAGACTTTTTTGATTTTGATATCACTCAATTTGATCTAAATTAATCAATAGATTATCTCAATTAGTTAATTGCAATTTGAAATACTAAAGAATTAAATTTATATTAAAATCTTTGTATTTTCGTCATAATTGAAGTTGTTTGTAAGATCCAAGAGTATCTTTTGTAAAGTTGTAAGATTCGCACGATTAGGATATTAAAAATAAAGCGAGAATGGGAGCAGCAGCAGCTGCAGATCTCTTGTAATAAATAAAAAAAATAATCGAGATTTCGGCATTGAAAGTGAAGCCGAAATAATAAATATACTATGTCTAAAGTTTCAAACAAGAGCGCTTAGTGGGCGTAGGCGAGGAACGTACAAGAATAGACCAAAAGCAGCTGCAACTGAAATCTGAATTCTCCCACATTTCGTTGCGAAATGAAATCAAAAAAATCGACGCGTATTTTTGGAACGACACATTCTCCTACATTTAATAATTCGTAATAATGTAAACACGAAAATTGCATTATTTTCAAGAAAATGTTGCTTGTTTTATTTTGCTCGACAAAAACATGATTTTTAGTTATTTCGAAATGCATTCAAAAGGATACATAAACATGTATGCTTTAGCAATTAATTAATAATTGTAAAACATGATGTTTTTATTACAGTCTTGAAGAAGGCATTCGAAGCTTTCGACAGCCAAAAGTCCGGATCCATCCCAACCGACATGGTCTCCGACATCTTGCGTTTGATGGGTCAACCCTTCGACAAGAAGATCCTCGAAGAGCTCATCAACGAGGTCGACGCTGACAGTGAGTTTCGAACGTTAAAAACGTGAACAATTTGATAAAATTTACTTTGAAACTCAAGAGTCCGGCCGTCTGGAGTTCGACGAATTCGTCACCCTCGCCGCTAAGTTCATCGTTGAGGAGGACGATGAGGCCATGGCCAAGGAACTGAAGGAAGCCTTCCGTCTGTACGACAAAGAAGGTTCGTCATACCGAGCGCAAATAAACTAATCTCTCGTCGCCGTCTCTGACAATCGTTGGCAGACGACGAGGCGATGAGTTTTTCTTGTACCTGCCAAGAAAACAAGTCGAGGAGAAAAGGATCGTAATGGTGTATATCTTATTTTTAGGAAACGGTTACATCCCGACCAGCTGCTTGCGCGAGATCCTCAGGGAACTCGATGACCAGTTGACCGACAAGGAATTGGACATGATGATCGAGGAAATCGATTCCGATGGTTCCGGAACCGTTGATTTCGATGGTAAGCTACAAAAAAAAAACATCACTTCAATTACAAAACTAACTCCTCTTTGAATATTGTTACAGAATTCATGGAGATGATGACTGGCGAATAAATATCTCTCACTCTCACTCTTTTTCACACAAAATAAAGACTTTATATTGAAAGTATAATTATATTTGTTATATAATTTTATTTGTTACATCACAAAAAATACACACACATAAACCACACACAACACACCATACAAGACAAAAAAAATAAAAATATAATTTTGGATTTAATAAATCTTAACATAGCAATATATGTTTATTACATTATAAATATTTCTTTTCTCTTCTTTTTTTGAATAGTTTCTGCCCCTTAGTATATATTTATTTGTACCTCCGTGAATATAGTTTTATTCATATATATATATATATAATTCCTTAACAATGACTAGTAAAAGGGATATAAGCTCTGGGGAAGTGATTCCTTCTTTTTCATATTTTGGTGCAACAAGCTAAATATATCGAAAAAATCCATATATTTTTTTTTTTTGGCACGTTAACAACAATATCGAATACCTACCGAAATCTTCAAAAACCAATTCGTAATACGTCTACAATCAAAGAAACGGATTATCACAATTCGAGAATGCTATTTTTTAAGAATAGATTGATAATAAATGAGTATATTTTTGGTTAAATTCGTTTTTTTTTTTATTCCCTCCGGGATTACTTGAAGTACTGGGGGAACTCGTTGATGATCTCTCTGACCAGTCTCTGGTCGCTCACGCTCTGACACGATTCTTCGCAGAAGATCCTCGTGAAGCACTTGAGGATTTCGTCTCTCTGGTGAAGATGTTCATCGTATTTCGTGTTCCTCACGATCCTCCGACACAATTCTATATATAGATGTCTCCGCTGAAAGATTCGAATGGGTTTAAATTATAATTACACTTGGATTAATAAATCTTAAGTTAAGTTGACACATTTCTTTCGCTTGGAAAAATTGAGTGCGTTAGTTAATTTATGCATCACCTAATCATTACTATAATCATAGAATAGGGATGAACAATTTGTGATTGTGATAAAGGCTAATGACCTAAGCCAGCGTTTTCCAAACTGTGAGGCGCGCCTCCCTGGGGAGCAATTTTCCAAATATCTGCTAAAGCATAGAAATATGAAAAAGCACAGTTTTTACATTTCATTGATTTTCTATAATACATAGAATGAATCCAACAGATGCATATGAAAGCTGAATGTTTGTGGAATGTAACGTATATTCATAACTGTGGTTTTATCCGTTTGGCTGTAATTCGTGTTCAAAGTTGAAAAAAAAAATAA